GGAGAGAGAATGATATGATCGAGATCCAAAAGCAACAAAAATGAAGACCTCAATTTATTATTAGTTTTTATAAATTATTTATCATTTAGAATCTCAAAGTTTGAGATTGAATATTTTAGTAGACAAGGGCAACAATTTTTAAAAACTATAATTAATGTTGTGAGTTGTCCATCTTCCACTACCAGTATCCTATTCCGATTTACAATTTGCTAACAACCTTTTGTTTCTTCTGTTCATCCAATAGCAGCTCCTGGCAACTGACTGATACTACTTCCATTGGAGTAGGCAATAGAAATCTATAGATTTTTAATAAGCTCTGTTCTTTTTTTTTTCTTTTTTTCACTCTTATTCATGATTATTCTGTTTCAAATTTTTATGAGATCTAGCACACTTGAATTTTTCTCTTATTTATCTCGGACAGCTTTAGATCTAAATTGTTTTTGCATATAGAAATTTAGAACTTCCCTCTTTTTCTCTTTAACCTTTCTTAGATACACCATCTTTCACCATTCTTACCATGATTCCCGTAATCTTAAGCTGTAACTTCTATCACGATTGTGTTCTTATTTATTGGTATAAAATAGGAAGATATTTCCTACTACAAATATTTTGCAATATGGTCAGCCATGGCTAACGGGGACACACTGGGTTTGCGCATGCAATTCATACTAGACGCGCTGTGCGCAGACCAGGTTAAAATGGTGTGTCTTGTTGGGAAACCAGGAATAGGGAAAACATGGAGTGCAAAAAAGGTTCATGATCATGTAAAGCAAAAAGATCTATTTGATTTATGTTTTTGGCTGTCTATGAGCAGAAAACATGACAAGGAATCTCCTCTTGAGAGGATTGCTGCTCAGTTATCTATATGTCTGCCAACTGAGGAGTGGGATGCGGATGACGATGGTGATCACGATGAGGATGAGGAGACGCAGACAGAAGCTAATCTGAAACATAAAATATCAGCAGCTATTGATAACAAAAGGTGTCTTCTAATCTTGGATGGATTTTGTAAGGGAGTGGAAGTATATGAAACTGTATCAGAATTTGAATAGTTGGTTAATGATTTTAAGCAGCCTTCATTTAAAGTCTTGGTGACCACCATAGTTTACTATGAAAATTCCATTGGTCCTTATGTGAAGGTGTTCGAGATTGAACCCTTGTCTGCATCAGACACCTTTACTCTTTTGCAAGAAAAAGTCAGAGATTCAAATTTTGTACTACTATTTGAAGGTATATATAAGGAAAGCCAGGGTGCTCTTGCTTAGTTTGAACTGGTATTAAGCCTTTTCCTTGAGCTTCCACAACTGTCCCATTGCTAAGCTTCACTTTAGTTCTGCAATTAACATCCAAGTTGCTGAACAACATATGATCCTTAGCCATATAGCTTGTGTACCCATTGTCAACATACCAGAAATCACTTCCACTCACACAAGATGCCTCAGTCATCCTGAAAAGATAACTTTCTTGCTGTTCATGGTTCTCAGCAAAATAGGCTTCCTGTTGCTGAAGTGGTTGCGTTGTTGTTGAGGCTCATTTTTTTTGCTGTGATGCTTGATTTTTCCTCTTCCAACATACATTCTCTGAATGACCATACTTTTTACAAATCTTGCATTGTACATGCTTCCAACATTTATTCTCAAGATGACTGGATTTACCATAATTTTTATAAGGGGGATACTTTTTTTTTATGAATCTTATAAATTCGGTAGCTGCTTCCCTTTATTTGTTGAGGATTGACCTTCATATTTTGAATTTAAGGTCCCAAACTTGTAACTCTGCCCCACTTGAAAAGCATTTTCAGTGATCTCATCATTTCTGATTGAAAACTTATGCTCTTGAACCTGTAACTTACTAATAAGTTCAGCAACAGTAAACTTCTCAAGATCGCATGTTTCTTCGATCACAGACAGCTTCGATTCAAACTTTTCAGGGAGACTGATCATCATTTTTTCAACCACTCTCTGATATTTGAATTCTTCTCCAAGCAGCCTTATTTGATTAATAAGATTCATAACTTTTGTAGAATACTCTTTAATACTCTTTCCCTCCTATATTCTCAACAACTCAAACTCTCTTTTCAGAATCAACAATTTTACTCTTCTCACTTTAGCACTCTCGTCCTATTCTTCCCTCAAATAATCCCAAGCTTTCTTGGCTGTCTTGAAAGCCACCAGCCTTGGGAATATGTCATCAGACATTGCAGAATGAAGAATTGAAAGAGCTTTGAAATTTCTCATAAACCCTTCTGCATCTTGCCTAATCTGCAGTAAGATGGGATTTTCGTGTAATGGAACTCTTACATACTCCTCCTCCACTACACTTCACAGATCATAATCAAGAAGATAGACTTCCATTCTCACTGCCCAATAATCATAATTCTCCCTAGTAAATATTGGTGGAGCTAGCAAGTTGACATTTGAAGCCATTTGAATTACTCAACTCAAGGCCCTTAAAAGAATACTTGTAAAAGACAGTAAACAAATTTTACTATATTTTGTGAATTTATTTATTATGTACAGATGAGCATTTATATACACATAAAGAAGAGAGAATGCTCTGATTGAGGAAAGAAAAACTTCAGGGTGGGAATATGAAGTAGCTAGGATGTGGCTGGTGCATGCTTTTTCTAGTTCTATGTCTTTGCTTAAGGTGTACAGGCCTCCCTTTATTGTATCATTCTTTAATTTTGTATTAGTCATTAAATTCTGCACAAAACAATGGTTTAGATAGAAAGAAACGTAGGTATTTGAGGCTTGAGTTAATTTTCTGACAGAAATCAAGTTATATGCAAATTTTGTTATGTAAAGAACATCATGTAGGGTCAGGTCATTGCATAGTTTTATTGTACTTTTATGTGTTGAGTACCTCAGGGTTCCATCAGGTAAAGAAACAGGTACTGTGAGTTCTAGTTTAGTGATTTTAGTAAGCAAGCTAAAATCATGACATGTGTGATATTGCATCTATATTGATTATCCATGTACTTATATCATCCGAGGTGTATAAAATGTAGCAGTTACACTGTTTACTTGTAAGACCGGAGTAGCCCAGTTCGAGTCGTAAAAAGCCCGAATCTTGTAATTGTTCTCCTTTGAAAAATATAAGTTATTGTTTTAGGTATCTGACAAAATGGAGTGTGGCGTCTAAATGCAGCGCATAACCGTGCAAAAGGTAGTAAATAAATTTTATTATATTTTGTGTATTTATTTGTTGTGTACAGATGAGCATCTATATACACACTGGCCCTTCATTTTCTGCTTTCAATCTCGACCGTTCATTTGCTTCAAACCACAGTAGAAAACTTTTCAATCTTTTACAATACTGCTTTGATATCACTGCTGGAGGCAAAAGCTTGCTGTTTTTGTGTTTATAATTTCAAAACAGAGAGAATAATACAACAATTTAAATCTAAATGTGTGGGTCTGCAGTGAGAAAAAAGAGAGCAAAACAATACAGAAAAAAAATGCAGAAGAGAATACAGTAGAGTGAGAGATAGCTTCTAGAAAAGTGAACTCTATATTTTGTAGTTCATCAGCCTTACATATCTATAGCATTTTTAAAAGAAGATATTTCGCTACAACAAATACAAGTTGTTAGCAAAAAATCAAGTAAAACACATCATTTTGTTAACCAAAACAAGCAAAAGTTGCTGATTTTCTTGCTTCAAAACATGCTTTCCCATTCATTTCAACTATCACTTACTAACTAAAGCAGAATAAAGAAAAAATAATCACAATTTCCAGACTTCGGCAATCACTGTTCAAGAAAAACTCAACTGCTAACACTGCATCTTCTTCACCTTGTTGACTTGCAGGTTTTGGTAGAAATTTAGGAAAGTAAGAACATAGTTTTACTCATATTGTTGACCCGTAGGTCTATTTTTCTCCCGAACCCGTTCCGCAGGAAGACGGCGAAGGGGACGCCTAAAAACTCAGTAGTTATATTTATAGTTCTTATTTTCAAGTATCTCTTTTAATTAGTTTGTTCTTTTATATTTTGAGCACGTTTTCGGTTATTATGTAAGGGATATTAATCAAAATTTTTATTACGCTTCTGCATTTAACATTTTTAATACACATATTTCATTCTAAATTTACGGGGCCGTTACACGAGAGGCTGTTGCATAGAGAGATGCACAAACACGGAGAGTGTTTTCAGCAGGGAAGAGGAAGCTATTGGAGTATGAAACAAACTTGAGATTCTGCAGATTCTTAAGTATATGCAACAAGAATTTGTAAGTTGAGAGATTCAGCAATCTTAAGCATCTGTATCTGGACTGTTGTCCGCTACTGGAAATTGTTTTCCCCCTCGTCCCGACAACCAATGGATCTTGAGACTGTTGAGATCAGGTTTTGTGATAATCTCAAACGAGTTTGATGGAACAGCTAAAGGACTCTGCATTTGTTTGAACTGCCGGAGTTGCAAAGCATTGGAGCTGCCTTGCCTTCTCTTGAAAGATTTACAGGGGGAGAATGCCCGAGACTTGAAAGACTTTTTTTACATGCTTCTTTCTTTTTGTTCGGGCAATACAAAACTGGATTATGACCAAAAGTTCTGTAGTTGAGGAACAATCTGATGGCAGTCAGGTCTGTCTTGGGTTGCCAAAGCTCCCTCCCCGAAGAAAACGTATGGCCTCTCAGAAGTGAACAAATGAAATTACACATGAATGAATGAAGGCTTCCAGAACTTTGAAAAATAACTTCAGGTTTGTTATGATTGCAGTTTTATATCGTTGTGGCCCAATTCTTATCTTGTTATATATATATATATATTAAATAGATATATTATATATTTTTTTATTATGATAAAATATATTCATTTTTTAAAATAAATTTCTTCATGTTCAAATTTAACATGTTTAGGAAACTATTTGCCACAATAAATATTTTTATAATAAAATTAAATGAAAATATTTTTATAATTTCTAGTGGTATTTTTGTAATTTTATTATCTTCTCCGGAGTTTTCTTACTTTGCTTTTACTTTTCCTTTCCTCTTCCAGGAGTCCACACCATTCCCCCTTCACAGTCGTCGACTCTCCACGCTGCTCCTCTTCTATCTCTTTCCGCAATGTCGAATACTCGAGTTCCCTACTCCTCACAGAAAGAATCCATCAAATCATTTGCAGGAACTGATGAAATCTTTTCATTTCACCAGCTCCACGATGTAATCCTACCAGCTTTGCTTGACAATTTGGTGAAGATGAGGAACTCTGTCTCCGCTTCCGGAATCCACGAGGAAACTGATGCTACTACCGGCAGCTCAGATCTAGACGATCGGCTCAAGAGAATCCTCGAAAATCTTCTTGATGCCAAAAATGCTCTCGTGAGATTCAAGGATCTGGAGGTGCTAACCAACAAGCAGATGCGAGCACTTCTCATTCCCAACGTCGACGATATTCTGGTAGAAATTGAGGAGGCTGAGAAAGCAGAGGAGGATGTTCGTGCAGCTGTGCAAGGCAGAAAAGCCGCTGAAGAAGCTCGTACCGTCGCCACGGAAGCTCGCATCTCCGCCGAGGAAGCTCGTCGCCACGGAGATAAGGAAGAAGCCATCGAAGCTTTAAAAGAATTCCGGCGAGCTGAACGAGAAGTTCTCGAGTCTGAACGGGCCTATGACGAACAGATAGATGATGTAACGTCTACTGTGCATACCATACCAATGGAGAAGATTCAAATACAGATTCCTGTATTGAGCAAGTTTACTACGGAGTTGAAAGGGAATCTCATCAGATCGCTTCCTACCACAACCAATCCAGATGATACTCAAACCCAGCCTACGAAGACCACAGCTGAAAACGTGCAGAAAGAAGATGATAAGGAATGGCTGGTCAAGTGGTCAGATCTCGATCTGGAGGATGAAAGTTTCTGCGAGAGCTTGGCTTTCAAAGCGATTGAGGAGCGGTATGTAAAATTGGAACCTACTTTGAAAGTATGTTTACTGTTTTTGGTCATTTTCCCGGATAATGCTGTTATAAAGAAGACTGCTATAATCTACTGGTGGATTGGAGAGGGATTTTTAGTAGCAGATCCTCGTTCACCTAAGACAGTGGAGGAGATTGCAAATGAGTTCTTGGAGGAGCTCATGGCGAAGGGCTTCATTGAGCCTGTCAACAAGAAGAGAAGTCCCATTGTGCAGAGATTTCGAATGAATCCTTTTGTGCGCCTTGTGCTGCTTATGTTGGCCAAGAAGAAAAGACTCTTTTGATATTGATTCTGCTGGGAACTTCCAAGCAGATTCTTTTACACACTCCAAGAGAGCATGCTTGGTTAGATCTGAGCAAGGGTCTTCCCAGTATGAACTAAGGACTAAGAGCCCGAATATCTGCAGACCTTGTTTAATGTGAATGAATCCTATGTTGACTTGACGAGTTTCTGGCTGTCAAAAGCCAAATATCTGAATGTTCTTCATCTGGGTCGGTGGCAAGGCTCCTCCAAGAATCACATCGAAGTGACCAACACAGAGTTCTTGAGAACACTGGGTGATTTAAAACACTTGAGGTACATAAACTTGCAAGGGATATCTAGAATTCATGAGCTTCCTTTATTAATTTCAAGTCTTCGCCACCTGAAGATCCTGGATCTTAGAGCCTGCCACAATCTGGAGAAACTTCCTTCTGGTATATCCATGCTTGAAAACCTGGAATATTTAGACATGTCCGAGTGTTATCTGATAGGCAATATGCCTGTGGGCCTGGCAGCACTTACAAAACTCCAAGTACTCAAGGGGTTTGTGATTGGGAATCCTACAGCCAATGGACACTGCAAGTTATCTCAGTTGACAAAACTTAGCAATCTGAGAAAGTTGAGCTTGAACATCTATGAAAGCATGGCTGATTACATAGCAGAGTATGAATTAGAGCATTTGAGAAGTTTCAATCAACTTCGTTCACTGACAGTAGCATGGCTAGGAATTCCTCCTCCGTCAAAATCTCGCAAAGCTACCACTAGACAACTCCGCCCATCATTAACGTATAGCAGAGCCAACACCATGTCGCAGCTTCCACCCATGTTGGAGAAGCTGGATCTTCGTTGCTATCCTTATTACGAATTGCCCAGAGGGCTACAAGGAATGGAGGCACTAAAAAAACTGTACGTCAGAGGTGGACAACTCCGTTCTCTGATGATGACAGGTGAAAATGGTAATTGGGCTACAAGTATAAGCATTTTACGTCTCAAGTTTTTGATCGACTTGGAGTTGACATGGCCTGATCTTTGCAGCCTATTCCCTGCGTTGGTTTACTTTGAAAAGGTTAATTGTCCCAAACTGTGTCTCTGTCCCTGCGACGGCCGTGGGGTATGGAGACAGAACCCAACAGCAAGCCTTTCCCAAGCTCCTTGATTCTCCTGCAAAATGACCATCACAAACTCAAAGATTGTAAATTTCTTCCAAAAATAGTCAAAGGAGAAGTGTTCCTATTTCTTGAAATATACATATATATATATATATAAACTGATTTTAATTTATTTTCTTTCGACAAATTTATACATTCGTTTGAGTAAGTTATAATATCGTTTATAAAAACTTTTAACTTAACCTTGCAAATATGTTATTTACAGATCCCGAGTTAAATATTTTACAGTAATTACTATTTCATCTTTTACCATCTAGGTTGTGATCACCAACCTATCTTCTATTAATAAATTTTACTCAAAAATATTTTAATAGATTACTTTTCTAAAGAAATATATATATATATATATATTTTTTTTTTTTCTTCTTCCCATACTGTCGCATGATTCCATCGTCTTCCCAAACAAATCAATAAATAATTTTCATAAACGTAAGTATGTTGTTGTTATGTATGTATAATATGATTGAAAAAAAGTGGTAGGTTTCCATGATCTCTTCGATATATATAATTATGGGATATCATAATTAGAAAAAGACAAAGAACGTGAAGGGGTCTAAAAAATTATAATTAAAATAAATAAAATGTGTAATAACAAAATAATAATAATAACAATAATAAAAGACTTTAGACCTCGTTTGGTATTAATTTTGCAATCACATCTGTCATCTGCTGTTTGTCGTCATCCAAGTAAAGTCAAAAGTTTTCTTTTAATCATTCAAACACCATTTTAGATACATTTAGTATTAAAAATATTTATATTTATAGACTTCAACGTTTACTTTAATTAATAACTAGTGAATTTTTAGGTTTTTAATGAATAACGATTTAATCTCCGTTTAATTCCTAATCTTAATCTTAATTCATTGTTAACATCGTTTTAAAGTTGACGTCGCGTGTTAAATCTTACTAAATAAATATCATACGACGTCTACCCTAACATGATTAATTTAAATTTAATGCGAATCAATTCTATAAAATTAAGAAACAAACAGAATTACTAATATAAACCCTGTCGAATTACTTGCTTTCTCTATTTTCATTTTTTATTTTTTATTTTTTTCTATGCGTAATCTTTGGGATGACATGAAAAACAATTATTTCCTCTCTTTTTCTTTATTTTCACCATCTAAAAACCCTAAAAGCTATGATAATTTTTCAAAACAGAGCATAGAACAAATTCATAGAGTGGAGAGCCAAATTGGTATCTCTTCTATCCCATTTTTGAAACATATATAAAAATATTTTAATTGCTAAATTCGAAGAAGAACAATCGCCAAGAGTGAATCAATTGAAGAAGACAATAAGAAACCATCATCATTGTTCGAGTTGCTCACGCATGATCTTTCCAATAATCTTGGCCGCCGACGGGACGCCGCCGCACTTCCTTGTGATTTCCTTTTTCAGGGCGTCGCCATTGGTGGGATTGAAAGGTTTCCGAACTTCCTCCACCGTGTCCTTGAATATCAACCAGCAACTCTCAGAGTCAGATCTGGGATGAAGCTCATGTATATTCTCTCCCCCAACCATTTTCTTCGCCATTTCCTCGTTCCTGCTCGCTACGATAACTGTTCCGCCGTGTCCTTTCGGAAATCCATAGGCAAGTTTATCGCTCAATTCTTCGTCGGCAGTAATCGAAGATTTCAATTCTTCGAACCAGGGATTTGGAGTGGAGATCGAATCGGAATCATCCAGCACGATCAAATACCTCTTGCCTACCAATTGCAAATACGTTGTATAAACCAAACCAGACAAACCATGATCACTCTCAATTGAGGAAATCATCTCATCCCCAAGCCCTAGGAGAGTTAAAATTGATCTGACTATCTCGATTGGCTGATGAGCAGCCGGTATCGACACAAAAATCCTGGGGAGAAACTGTTTTTTAATCTCCGGCTTGCTGAAGATGAGTTTGCAGAGTGTTGTCTTGCCGATGCCAGATCCGCCAACGATGGCGATTGCTTTGAATCCATCGTCATGGCCCGGTACTCGGAGAAGCAGATTCATCAGGACGGTTACTTCTCCGTCGAAACCATGAATCTTGGACGTATCCAATCGCCGTGAAGAAAGCTTCCAGGGAAATGCTCTGACCATTGAAGAGACTGCTGATGGTCCTTGGCCGTTCTGATTCGGGGCTTCTGCTTCTTCTGTAATTCCATTATCATCTTCCATTTCTGGGGGGTGGAGACCGAGGACTGTTCTCTTATGACTGATGGGAGGTGAGTGTCTTCTTGTTTTCTTTTCTCCTTCTCCGCTGAATTAAAAGAGAAGTTGGATTCTTGCCATTTTTTATTTTTTAATTTGATCTTTTTTTTTTTTCGTTTCATTGTCGTTAACAGACTAGTAACACCGTTTAACAGACTAGTAACACCGTTAATAACGGTGTTAGTATCATAAATAAAAATGATTTTTATTGAGAATGGAAAAGGACAATTCAAATTGTGAATCTTGCCATTACTATTAGGGTTGGAAGAGATTTAACCCTTCTAATGAACAAATAATTACAGCTTCTCTTTTCTTCTCAAGTTTGGGAGGCTCTGAATAATGCATTTGGTGGTTGTCTCTCAAAATAGGCAACTATAATTGAAAACTTGCTGAAATTTACCCTGATAGAGGATTGCCTTTTTGAATGCTCAGCTTCGTTATTACAACAAAAAGATAAGAACTGCATGCAGGACAGAAGAAATGGTGGCAAAGTAGTAGAAAAAGAGAGATTGCACAATACATTTTCTAGAACAAATTACTTGATGTATACATCATCCTTCTAAAAATATTCAAACTTTGATGCAAGAAATACCAAGTCGAAACCACAATTGCTAACAAGTATAGTTGATAAGTATGCTGCTAAATTGCTAAAAGTAATAGCATCCTCTGCTGCCATTAGATTTTAATATAACAAACCCTTGGCCATCCTTTTAAAAACATACAATGACATAAAACTGCAGTCATAACAAACCTGGAGTTACTTCTCAAAAGCTCTCAAAGTCTTCATTCATGTGTAATGAATGCTTTGTTTTCTGAGAGGCTGTGTTTTATCCGGGAAGGGAACTTTGGCAACCCAA